ACATAGAAAGAAAAAATTAAATTAAGATAAATGAATAAATATACAGCCTACATTCTTAATAGTTCCTCCGGTAAATTTGTGCAATAAGCTTAACTTTTTTACAGTAGAAAATCTCGAACTGAAAAGAATTTTGAAAAATACAAACTGCAATATAAGAATGTTTATTCACTATGGGGAAAAAGGCACACAAAAGGACATTTATTTTTGCTTAAAAGCATTTAGTATTCTGTAACATTTTTAATTATATAGTAAGATAAAATTAAAAACAGATTTGACTAAAATTCCTATTGTGAGATTATTGCGCCTGGATTAAAGGAGAAGATTTTAAAAAATGTTTATATAAACACTTAAAGAATTTAAAAAATTGTAAAAATTCTTAAAATTATTTCTAATTCATAAGGAATCATTTTTATAATAAAGGTTTTTAATCTTTAAAATACTTTTAAATCCTGCTGTGCAGCTGCATGTGCGACAATGGGAGCTTTATGAAAAGTTTCTCTGCTGGTGCTCAGAGGTCCGACAGGTGGGGTCAGAAGTGCTCCAACGGTTTTCCTTTAAACTTATTATAAACTGCAACAAAAGGCTGTGCATGGTGGCTGCACACAGCTTAGAAGATGATACAATGGATCTGCTCTGCTAAACAACCACAAAAAAAACAAAGCAATGTGAAGTCTGAGTAAACTATGGGCGCAGGTTTACATGGGAATTTTTCTGCTATAATCCAAGAGCACACATTTTCAATCTGAAAGCAGGATGTCATGTCTTTTGTTCTCAAAACTTTTAATACTTTTGCTTACATGTTCATTTTGAAAGCAGGACTTCATGTCTTTCTTCTCAAAACTTGTAATGCTTGTACTCAAAACTTCTCCTCTAGGTCACACTCTGCTCAGACTCTCTGTTCGCTTACAAAACATGGAACTGCCTTTTGGCACAGTCGCCTGGCAACCTCTCAGCCAATAGAACAAAAGTGTTGTGCTGGGTGCGTTTGTTTCCTTCTAGCGGGTGTGCCTGTGGCTGCTATCGATTGTAGCAACCTGCACCAACATGATGTTATATGGTTTGCATTTTGATCTTCCAGGAGAGACAGATGCTATTCAATCAGTCAAATACAATCCTGTGAAGAAAATATTTATATCCTTACAGATTTTATCTGTTTTCTCTCACTTAAATGTTTGAGATAATTTACTTGGAAAAAAAGAAAAAAAAATAGAAAAGGCATATTTCTAAAATTAATTTCATTTAATAAGGGGTGTTGGGGATCTATTTCAAAACCAACCTGAGACCTTGAGAAAACTAATCCCATTGAGGCCATTCTTATTTCTTATTCTTAGATCATGACCTCTGACCTTAACAGACACATGCATATGGATTGACTGATAGATATATCTAATTAAAAACATTAACACCCCTAATCTTACAGTGAGGAGAGCTTTTTGTATTCACTTATAATCAAGCATGACTAATATGTAGCTATAATTCACTAGCAGTTGTAATAAAATGTATTTTTATCTTTCAAATAAAATCTATTTGTTTATCTTAAACATTTTGTGTAAATGTGGTGCTTTCCCTCAAGGTCATGATGCGATAAAAATCTGATCCCACCTGGTCCTGACAATCAGCCCTATCAGTGTCTGATAAACAAAGGTCCAGTTATCTAAAGTTCTGCCTGTTTGACATGGACGTGTTTGCCAAATGTCTGAATCCGGAGTCCGTTCTTGGCCTGATGACACAGATCTCCTAGTTCTTACCTCAGAGGCAGCAGAGATGGGAGGAAAGGGTGTTTTCAACAACCCAACGTCCCCATTCCTGCTGAGAGAAGCAGAGAGAGGGAAGAGTAAAAATGGAAACGGTTCTGGGTCTGATCATCTAATGGGTCTGATGATCAGACCCATTCTTTGATGATGGGTCTGATCATCAAAGAAAAGTGGTCAGAAAGTCAGTGAGAGTCTGGGGAATTTAACTTTTCAAAAGCAGGGGCTCCTCCAGGACATTTTGTCTCGGGCGGCCAGATGAGCCCCATTAAGAATCATGAAAAAAGTGACATTTTATTTAAATATGTTTCCATGTATGGTGGAACATTAATTCATGTTTTTAAGCATATAAGCTTGTTGCAATAAATCAATGAATCACATTATAAATTAAAATGAGCTCAATCATATCCATTATGTTTTGAAAAAGGGTGATTTCATTTATGTTTTTAATTGTGTGTAGGTTTTAATTTCCATGTTATTGTTTTTGGTCTTTTTTGTTAAATATTTAAATGTATTCATTTTCCATTGTTGAGGGTTTTTCTTTTTTAACAAAATTAAAGTTTATTGGTCATTGAGAGAATTGGCCTCTCCAAATTGTCCCTAGGTGTGAGTGTGTGTGTGAATGGTTGTTTGTCCTGTTTGTCTCTGTGTTGCCCTGCGACAGACTGGCAACCTGTCCAGGGTGTACCCCGCCTCTCGCCCAGAACGTTAGCTGGAGATGGACACCAGCACCCCTCACGACCCCACTAAGGGACAAGGGTGTAAAGAAAATGGATGGATGGATTGGTCATTGAGAGGGTAAATTTGTATTATTTTGCCATTATCATTAAATTACTTGAAAATGGTATCAAAAATATTGTTTATCACAATAATTTCTGGGATAATTTATTGTCCAGCAAAACTTGTTATGACAGGCCTATCCATCCACACAAAAAACAAAAAAGAAAATATAAAAGGTTAAATAGTAAAATACAAAATAAACACTACAACCAATTAAAGTGGCCTTCATCTCTAACATTTTATGCACAAAAATACATGATGGTGTTACTTAGGAAAAGGTAACACAAGTATGATATGTAGACTGTGTGTCTCAATAAATAAGACAATGAAAAAGTTTGTTTTTTCCAGTAATCAAGATAAAATTGTGAAACATATATCACATGGAGTCCTTCCATACAACATTTTAGACATCTATTTCAGTTCATGTTTTATTATTTTAAGCATGCTATATTGAAAACTCAAAAGTCAGTTTCTCAGAAATTAAATTTTATATCAGGTAAAAGAAAAAGGGATTGTAATGCAGAAATGTTATGGTATTGTGAGAAAATCATAGGATAAACAGCCATATTTTTAAATAAAAATACTTATTTTATTGGTATATTAATTTAGTAATAATTTTTATTCATTTCTGAGAAACTGAATTTTGTGTTTTAATCCTCTGTAAGCTAAAATGATCAAAACCAGCAGAAAAAACACCTAAAAATTCTGACTATGTCTGGGATAAATATAATAGGTTAGCTTTCTGAATTAAATATCTGACATAAAGGTTCAGATACACTGAGAAGCACCGGTCAGTTTTTAAAAAGGGGGGTGGGGAGGAATATGTTTCTGTTAAGTTCGCTATAAACAAAATTCCAGGAAGTCATTTTTTTATGATAAAAGTTGAACTTTAAACGCCGCTCTCTGCTTCCCCCTATTGTACGGCGCTGGCATTGCAAATTCTAAGTATTTTTCTTTTATTAAACCACGAAAAGAATCGACTGATAAATAACGCCGAATACACTTCAAACATGTAAAGACGAAAGTAATATCACATAATCTCATTCTCCGTTTTTATACTGTTTCTGAAAATAAATTTAAAGTCAAATTATAGCTTTTTTCAACAGAATTCGCCAACTCAACCAGAAAGTCAACCAAGCGGCTGTTGTGGGGGCTGCAGACTAACGAAACCTATTTGGAAAACGCAGCTCAAACTAAAAACATGGAAAAATAGAGAGGTTTTGAGGTGTTTCAGAAGCAAACAGGCCATGTAAACTGTAACACGACAAAAGGAGCATCAGAACAATCAGTACTTTGGTTTATCTTACATCAAGTCCGGTAACGGCTGTTGGTGCAGGTGTTCAGCCCGTTTTACGGACCTTTCTTCGGAACATTACAGCTATATTGTGTCCCAGTAACGAGGTTAGTGATGAGCCCACTCGCCGACCACCGGAGCCTCTCAACCTTCGGTTTGTGTTTGTTGTTCTTCGGTTAATTTGACAGATTAGGACACGCCTCTTCTACCGGAAGTTACGTAGTTTAAATGTCAGGTTTTAGTTTTATTTTTTCTTTCAGATAAAAGAACAATGAGACGAGAAAAATAAAAGGCACGAAATATAGATACATGTAAAATACATAACTAAAAATGTGCGTTTAAATATGTAACATTATTTTCGGACAACCTGTTGCCATTGCGCGATCACGTAGTGCCATAGCAACAGACTTCCTCGCTTCTGATTGGTTCTCTGCCAGATTTAAAGAAGCAGAGCACATGTGAGGCTTTTTCGTTAGAATCTTAACATTTTATTTGGTTTAATTAAAAAGACAAACATGACAAATTTAATTTTTAATTTATTTAACTGGCTCAATAACGCCAATGCATTTTACTGAGAAGTTATTATGAAAACCAACACAAACTGGAAGTGGAAAAGAAAGAAAGAAAGAAAAAAGAAACATTGTGTTCAACTAAAAAAAAAAGAATTCTGAAAGGTGTGGCGTACATTTATACACTCCTTGAATCAGTGCTTTTGTGTGTGAATTAAATTTTATTCAAAAATGCTTTATTGATCCCAAAAGTAAATTAAATAACATTTAATTGAAGAGTTATTAAGCGTAATTTATATTATGCAGGGTTTCATCTGCACACTGAAGCATGTTTCCACTAACCAAAACTTCTGCTGTCATGTTAAATACTTTATTCAGGGATTTAAGTTTTTATTATGGAATACTGTTATTTAAGGTTTTCATGAGTGACATCACCTCATCCCTTAAAGGTTTTATTTACCTGGATAAAGAGAGCAAAAATCTGGACAGGTTCTAGAAAACACTCTTCTCAGCAGGAAATGATGTCATTGTTTGTGACCTGGGGACTATTAGGCTAATCCTTATTTTGTTATCTCAGAGCAGAGATTAACGTGTTATAACTGCTGTAATTTAAAGCAGAAATCAGAGGCAGAATAAACTGCAATTTCTGTTTCTGAGCATCTACTGTGATATTTAAATATCTTCATGAAGACACATAAGGTCCTCAGCCCAGAAAGAGCGAGGGTAAACTGGGTGGGAGGCGTGGCGTCCTAATCCAGAAGGATCCTGTGAGTCAGCTGCACAATAATCTGCCAGCAGCAGAGAATATAAACAGACACAGGGGAGGAATTTGAGTCAAATCATCCAATAAAATCAGGCAATTTCCCTTTTGAACTTCTGCTGGAATTTTATTGAAACAGAAAGAACAAAGCTGACTGAAGCTGAGGAATATGGCGCTCCTGAAGTCAGGCTGGCTGTGGAGACAGAGTGAGTATTTCCTATTATTTTTGATCATGTAACCCCAAAACAAAAAGGTAAATTTAGAATATTTTATTCAAAGATTCTCTTTCATTTACATTTCAAACTTATATTGGGAATACGGAAATCAAAAAGTGCCACAATCAAATAAGTAAATATATTCATCATTTATTTATTTTCTCAACTATTTAAAAGCCGCGAGTAATGTAAAAAGGAATGATTGATATACATTTTGGAAAGTATCTTAAACACATAAAATTACTTCTGTACTTCTGTGTTTCTAAAGTGATGTCATTCTGGCTTTTAACGTCTGATTGGTTTATTTCCACAATCGGGTTCACTTCAAACCAATCACCTTTACTGCAGCCATTTTAGCCCCACCCACTGTTAGAAAATGCTAACTTTTACACTTACAAGCTTTGAACCTGAAAGTTATAAAAAATAATCATATAAAATAACTGTACCGAATAATTTTGTATGTATACACAGTAAAAAATCTTAATTATATACTGACAAATCTTTTTATGTAGAGATTATAGATCTAAAAAGTTCGTACGATGGCTTAATAGGACCGTTGTAGAAAAAAGGAGTAAATTTCCACCAAAAAAGAACTCAGAATTTTTTTTATTAATTTCAGAAATTTTCTGGAAAGATTTGGAAATTCTGTGAGCTTGAAAAGTTGATTATATTCAACTTTTGAAATTCAGAAAATTTCAGAATGTAGAAAAATTCCTGCTGTTCAAGCTTGGAAATTTCCAATTTTTTACATTTACTCCTTTTTTCTATCAACAATGCTCCTGATACGTTGTTTTAAATTTCATAAGAATATTTTCAAATTTTATCTATATTTTTATATGTATTTACTTAACTTTGTCACTTTTAGCACTTAACAGGTCACACATTTACAGTCATTGAAATATTTAATACTATTTAAACTAGTATTAATAGCGGTATTATAAAAAATATTTAGATAAAAAAAATAAAAAACGAATTTAAGATATAGGTGTGTTGTTACCTAATTTTCATTTTTTGCTTTATCTGAAAAATACAATCGCCCTTTCCAGAATCAGAGTAGTAGAAAGAAAATTAAGGAAAAAAAATATTAACAAGACCCCCAAATATATGAAATTGTACAAAAGCTAAAATTCTATTCCAAAGATACAGTAATATTTCAGACAAATACAGAAGAAAAGCCTTTAGTCTTGCAAACAAAAATCCAGATCTGACTCCAGAATCTGGAACTATTTATATTTTTAAGCAGTAAACCAGAGAAATTTGGATGTTTTTAGGTATTTCTATTGTAGATTTGCTAATCAACTGATATTCAGTGTAAAATAATAAAACAGTTTTTGATGTTTTTGAAGAACATCAGTTTTAAAACAGTTTTCTGCTGTTTTAAAGGTTTAACATATTCATCTTAAACTGACCAACATCAGGTTTCTACATATTCATTATTCTACATTCAGGATAATCTGAACATCTCTGTAGAAAACAATGAGAATATTCCAGAAACCCACCATGCTGGTTATGAAACTGCAGCCTCTGCAGCGTGTAATCCTATTAATTGTCCTCGGCCGGCTGTGTCTTTAAGTGGCTCACAGATCATGAGGTTCGAAAGCTTACAGATTGAAAGCAGAGTTGGAAAGGAAATGATTTATAATAAGTTATTTTAAAAGATTTTCCACCTCTAATGTGACAGAAATGAAGTCAATTTGCCACACCAGATTTTTCTGAAATTTGTTTCCTCAAGCTGAAGTCAGTTTGTAGAGAGAGAGAGAATGTAATTATTAATAAAACATTGTTTAAATTTTATTCTTTTTTAATTTTTGGCTTGCGCCTCCTCAGACTTTTAATTTATTTGTAATTAAAGGGGCAGTATTATGTAAAATCAACCTTCTAGCTTATAAAGCTTTTCCCTCATCAAAAACAAACCTGGCGTGTTGCTTTGATTCCTTCATGCATGTTTGAGAAATCTTTTCATCTCCATGGCAACCATTCAGCTGGGTGAGTCTTGGGGTTATAGCTCCTCCCACACTCAGCTCCGTCAGACTAGCCAACAGCAATTAGCAAAAACCTGGAGCTGAGCTCATTATAGGAGCTACTGGTCAGAGCAACGCTGGTAAAAACATTGCTAAAAGGTTTAATTGAGGAGCCATGTTGGGTGACTTCTTGGAGGCGGAGCTTCAGAAAGAGGAAGAGTTTTTAAAGAGACAGAGGCCCAATTTCAAGGCATTAAAGCAGGAAGTCATATTAGTTTTAAGTAATTTTTTATATATGTATAGCATTTTTATAATATTTGAAGGTTACAGTTGAAATGCTATAAAATGGCACTATGTGCCTATAAGCATTTAATACATTTAATTTAATAATTATCTTAAACAACTAGGATTTTTTTACAGGTGTTTTGAAAGTCACTGTTTATCTTTGTAATCTATTTACACACTTAATTTTGAAAAATACAGGATTATACCAAATTATTTAAATAAAATAATGTCTAATTCAGGTTCTATAATAAAAGGGGAGCGAGGACTGATCCCAGAGGAACACCACAAGCTGGATCAGTAGTGACCAATTATTATCACCAATGATAGTAAAGTGCATCAAATCCCTTTACAGAAAAGCGTTAGCATGTCTTTGTGATGCATGTTTGCTCTGCAGCCGCCATTTTGAAGCGCTGGAAGCTGAACTGGTGCGACCTTTGGATAGACGGCAGCCTGTGTTTCTACAAGAGCGACAGCCGGCGGGAGTTAGAGCAGCGAGTCAGTCTGAAAACATCGTGCATCGATGTCCGGTCTGGTCTGGAGTGTGGAGGTAAACATCGCAGAAATACCTGTAAAACTGCAGTCACCGGGAAAAGAAAGTAACACCCCATTTGTCTGTCTGTCTGTAGGTGTGAACCCTCCAGAGAGTAATCCCAGGGAAAACCTCGTAGTGATTCATTTCAGAGAAGGCTCAACACTCAACCTGTGCGCAAACAGTGAAGATGAGTCTCTGTAGGTACATCCCCACCTGCTGGCTCAGCCTTTAATTTAAGCACATTTATCAGTTTCTCATTTCGGGTTTTTGTTCTCATTCAGAGCATGGAAACTGACTCTGCTTGAAACCAGAAGAAACCCGGTGAGTTCTGTGTCCCCTGTCGGTTCTGGACCTTCACCTGTCAACTTGTTGCTGAAAATAATGACAATGTTTTTTTGTTTTGTTTTTTTTTTGTGCAGGTGTTTGCATACGACCCGTATGATGACTCCTACCAGGCCGTCCCCATGAACGGATACCACACTGTCTACATCACACCTGGAGCGGGACCAGGTAAGATGGCTGCATGACAAAATCAGCGAACAAGAAACTGAGATTAATCTCAGAAAATTTCTAGACAAAATAAAAACATTTCTGAGTTTAAAAAGTTGTAAATTTGAGAGAGAAAAACTAAAATTCTGAAATTAAACTCAGATTTTTCTCCAAAAACTTTTGAGCTCCAAAAAGTCAATCCAAAACTTTGAGATCAATCTCAAAAATTTCTGAGCTTGAAAAGTTTCAACTTTATGAGCTCAGAAAATGTTCAGATATTGTGTAGAAAGTACATGAAATTAATCTAAATTTTTTTTTTTTTTTGCAAATGTTTGACTTTTTGAACTTTTTTATCTTTCCTAGGAAATTTGAGATTAATCTGGGAATTTCAGATTTTTTCTTGCAAACTTACAACTCTTTGAAATCTGAGATTTCTTTTCCTCTAGAAAATGTCTGAGATTAATCCTAAAATTTCTGATCGTTTTTATACTAGATTTGCAACTTTTTGAAATCAAAGATTTGTTTTTCTAGAAAATGTCTGATATTCATCTCAGAATTTCTTAAATTATTCTTGCAAATTTTCAGCTTTTTTGAACTCAGAAATTTTAGATTTTTTTCCAAAAATAAACTTCTAACTTTTTTGGCAGAAATTTCCTCCTGTTTTTCTTCCAACTACAATGGCTCTTATATGCCGTAGAAGATATTAACAGCAATTAATGTCCTTGAATTTTCCTTTCAAAACTTAACCAGTCTGAGGAGCAAAAAAACTTGTTTGAGAAGCAAACAGACAGGATTCAGCTGTAACAGTGGCTGCTGTGTTGTTATGTTGAAGGAACCCACCAGGTGATCGTCCAGAGGGATCCGTTTGATGGAGTCGCAGAGAGCGTGGCGCTGGGATTACTGGCGGGCATGGCGGCGGGGGCAGCCATGCGGTCCTTCCTCTGGATGCCCTTCTTCTTCTGCTGAAGGCGCCGGTCGCTCGTCTCCTCCGGAGGACTCAGCCGCCTCACAGAAACGTGTAGAAAAGCTTCTCCATCACGGTTCGCTTTTCTCTTCAGGAGCAGTTCTGAATCTGACACCAAAAGGCTGCTGTGTATTTATGTTATTCATTTATTCAGGACATTACAACTACCCGTGGACATTTCTGAAACAACACGCCAGTTTTGTATTTAATGCTCTTTTAAATACAAAACTGGCGTGTTAGTGGCATGCTGTTTTACATTTTACAAGCTTACAAAAAAATCAGCTCATTCCAAGCATTGCTGTGTTAGAAGATAAATCAATAAATTAAAACAAACGCTCATTTTCTCCTAACTTGTTTTGCTTTCTGTGAGTTCCCATGGCAACAGGCACTTAGCTGGGGAAGATGCAGGTCTTTCCATAATTTTTTTTTTTTTTTAAAACTACAATCTATTTTTATGGTAATAAACCAGCAGCTGTGGTTGAGAGAAACACAGTAAAAACTACAATAAACAAAAAGTGTGAAATTTACAGGTTCTACTAAGTTTAGCATATTTTCACTGTTTTTATAACTTTGTAAATAAAAAATAATACTGTTTAAATCAGTGAATTTAGCAAGATGGTGTTGTTATAGTACAAAGTACTCAGTCGATAAAACTTTACTGGGAAATGTTGAAGAAAAAATGTGTTGAAACAGGTATAGTAAAATAAATCTTGTTTTGATACATTTGTGTAAAATTTGACAATTGAACATGCAGAAAGTGTTTTGTATATTGGAGAATACTCCTGATTAGTTCAGTGATTTTGTTTTGAGTTTAGAAACAGCATAAATAGAGAGTTTAGAGTAAATCGATTCGTTTCTTTTGGATTCTGAACTGAAGTGTGAGCTAAAATTCAAGCTAAAGACCGGCTCAAGTCAATTTAGTTTATTTTATGGCACCAATTCACAATTGTGGTGACAGTGGAGAGGAAAAGTTCCAGTAGAACCAGATTCCTCTTTTTGTCGCTAATATGGTAAAAGAATAAAATTGTTTGTTCAGCACATTTCAATCAAGTTTGTGTCTGGAAACCTGTGATGTGACCTTTGAACTCTACACAGCAGAGAATATATTTAATAAGAGAGGCTGGAAGTTCACACCACATGTCGCTAACAACCAGAGAAATCTACAAGTACAAAGAAAGGGAGCCAAGTTTGTACATAAATTATGATTAATAAAGTAAAATGAATGAAAGCCGAGAAAGCAGCTTAAATGCGTCAGGATTTAGAAAGCAATCGTTTTTCCAATGAGCACAGAGAAATATCTGCTGGTTTAGTCCTGACTGGTGGCCGATTTAAATGTTTCTTCAAACAGGAAGGATCTCATGGATAAACGTTCCATCAGAACCTCACTGTTACTGTTACAGGAGCTGCATTTCATTGACCATGTAATTGCACAATTTGACATTTCAGAAATAAATTTCAATAATTGAAACAAGCTAATTTAGAAAAGTGTTAGCATGATGTGGTTGTTCACCCATATTGAAATCCGTTTATTTTGCAAAACTTAAACTTATTCCTGTGTGATTTTCATTTTGTTTCCTACTTAATGAAAACAGCGCAATTGCAAAATTGTATTTTTCAACATGAGCAGAACAGCGACAAAGTTTTGCGCACATTTGTAATGGAAACACAGCTAATGTTGTGCAACACTGGTTCCAGAGTTAGGCCCAGTGAGCGACTGGAGCAAAGATCTGAGTGGAAAGGAAATAAATTCACAGACTAACCGGCCATCACCAGCTGTTCCTTACAAGAGTCCAAAACAAAAAGAGGGTCTGTCCAGAACCTGAGGACCTCTCACAGAGAGCTTTAAAAACACCTGGAGTTAGGAAGTAGATGTTTCTACTTAAAAACAAGTGCTGTATTGAAACTAGAGCCTGGACAATAAATCAATATCAATAGAATATTCAATATTTGGAATATTCACCAAATTCTGTTTCACAACCGAACGGCATTCTGGGGGATGTAGGCAGAGGAAAGGCTTTAGCCGTTTAAACTCTCACAGCTAGCTAAGCAACGTGAGTAGCATCGACTAACTGGTTGCCTAGCAACAACTTACTGAGTAACATACACAGCAGCGGTTTCGAGTTTCCCCACCGTGTCTGATAACTGCCTACAAATAAAAAAACGACGTGGAGAGAAAACTGTTGATAAAGTCACCAGTTTGGCAATATTTCAGACATTTACAACAGAAAACTAACCAATAATTATTGATATTGACTAACGTGATGAAACTCATTTGTCGTGATATGTGTGTTTCAGCCCTAATTTAAAAAACGTTGACTGCACAAAACTCCACTGCTGAAGGAAAAGAAACAAAGCAAGTTGAAGCTCGTTCATCAGGATCAGCTTATATGACGAACATGAACTGGAAATATTTCCTCTCAGTTTTGCAACTGATTAGCGAATCGTCTCTGCAATCAATCCCAACTCTGCTACTCCTCTTTCCTCTGAGAATGTCCGTTCACTTCCCGTTTCCCCAACTTTCCCTCCGCCTGCAGTTTCCGAACCAGCTCCATGGGGCCCTTCCCCATTAGAGCCGACGGGTGCCTGTAGGAGCCTCCCAGCCGGTCCCACAGGGTGAAGTACTGGCCATAGTTGTAGTCAAAGAAGAGGTGATGGTCGGTGTGGTGGGCGGAGCCGTTGATGACGCCGGTCAGGCCGGCGGGGACGCGGTAGTCGCCGTCGTGGATGGAGATGGTCCAGATGTTGACAAACACGTACAGAGCCAGGTAGAGCAGCTTGTGAAGGGGGAACAGGAAGGGGTAGATGTGGTAGGGCAGGCCCTGCAGGAAGCCGTCGACCGGGTGGAAGGCGTGGCTGGCGAAGGGCGTGGTGATCTTCCAAATGTGGTGTGGCTTGTGGAACATCTGATGGAAATGAAGAGAACGGAGATCAACACGTAGTTCCCACCGGTCCGAACAGGAAGCGATCCGTGCCATCTTAGCTAGCAGCTAAAAGCTACATTGGCTAAGCTAATTTTTCTAGTTTGGCAGCAAGTACTACAGTAAATATCACTGATATTTATCTCGCTGTTACACACAGGTGAGTAGATACTCAAAGGTTGTGATCAAGTAATAGTTGTAATGTGGCTCATAAGTTAGATAGGAACAAGGCGAGAGATAGTTGTAAGCTTGTGACTTGCTTATTGTTGTCATAGCAACTCCATAACAACTGCTTGCCAAGATGGTCATCAGTTACAAAGTTTAAAGAAGTGTGACGTCACATGAGAACAGTGTATTCAACCTCACATGAATATTCTACTAGAAAAGGAAGAAAACCTCTGACCAGAAATCCAATTAACTTATTAATAACTCATTTTTGTCACTGTCTGACATTAATTAGATTAAACATTTCCCGTTTTAGATCAACTGAAACACTTAGAATATTTAATTACATTTAAATATAGTCTAATTTATATTTAATATTAAATATTTAATATAATTTCATTCATATTTAGTATTTAATTTCCCTTTGGGATTCATACATTTGTATTTGAATTATAAACAGAGTGTCTTTCAGATTTTTCAGGCAGCGAATATTAAGATTAGACTAAGAGATTGTCTTCCTTTAAACTACAGGAATAAAGTCATAACTTTATCAGAATAAAGATGCAATATTACCAGGAGAAAGTCATAAAATTACGACAAAAATGTCACTTTATGAGAAAAAAAGCTTCAGTAGAGTTTTAAAGATCTGACCAGGTCGGACATTTTGTGGTTCTTTCTTCTAAGTTGACTTGTTTCAAAGACCAGCTGCTGATCATAATTTACCTAGTGCTGATGTTAGAGGATCAAGTTTGTCCTTCTTTGTAAAACATACCAAAGTATAACTTCATTTTACCGCAATGTAGAGATTCTCAAAAAAATTAGGACTTTTCTCATATTAATACGATTTCATTCTCATATCACAGCACATGTTCTTATGTTATTGCTCGTGTCATATTGACTTTGCTCTCATAATATTACGACCTTCAACACTTTTACCCACCTTGTAAATAAGCTTGTGGTGCAGGAAGCGGTGGATCCAGTAGATACACATGTCAGTGAAGAACAGGAAGGAGATCATGCTGAGGAAGAGACCGGACCAGCCTGAGAGCACAGAGGAGACGTCAGTCCCACAGCAGGAGGCAGAGACAACATGGAGGACGATCAGACAACATGGAGGACGATCAGACAACATGGAGGACGATCAGACAACATGGAGGACGATCAGACAACATGGAGGCTGCTTTCCTCACCCAGCGGGGAGTCGCTGACATTGTCGTACAGCTTGCTGTAACCTCTGACCTCAGCAAAGAACAAGGCCACGGTGGGGATGCTGATCCAGGGCAGGGAGGTCATTGCATACTTAATTTCTCTCTGAACTTGATTCTGGGAAACAAAGGGAAGATGACACATGTTAAACAGAAGTTCAGCTCTAAGCCGGTTTATTTCAGTATGGATGGACGCTGAAAGGCGACATGACGGGTTCAGACTGGGAGCGTATCGGGACATTCGGAGAAGCTGCTTGGTGGTTTACTGGTGGAAGTGACTTCATTATCAAGCAGGTATCAGTTATTAAAATACTAATAACTCTCTGTAAACAAAGTTGCTCATTAAGCTCAGAAGTAAAAAAGAGAGACAGGAGGAAAACAAACAAGCATGCAAATGGAAATTATTAATTCATCAAACGATTCATTGATTTATTGCTTATTTCCAAACCAACTACTTTATTGCTCAGATAAAAAACTATCCACCTCTGAATGGAATATCTGGTAGCTGGTCCTTTAAATCTCTCCAAACATGGAGGGAACAAAGTCTGCTGGTCTGCCTGGTTTTGCAGGGCTGCCAATCATTCTGTTACTACGGCAACCGTGTGGCGACATACCTCCAGGAAGTGTGGATGTTTCATCAGATTGTGATCAAAGATGAAATAGTAGCTGATCGCTCCCAGGCCGAGGTACAAGATTGCCGCCCCGAGGTTGGTCACCACCAGGAGGCTGAGGATCTGCCGCAGGGCGCCGTCCTCGGCCCACGACTCGGGGTAGACGTAGGGCGTCAGGACGTAGTGGTCGGCCACGTTCAGCACCAGGTCCATGGCTGCTTCAAACAGAGAAACATAAAAAATAAAACCTTAAAGCGAAATAAAAAAACTGAGACTTTAAATTAGGCCTGTCACAATAACAAACAATGCTACATAAGTTATTGCGATAAATGATAATATTGTTGCTAGGGAAACATTTTCAGGTAATAGCATAATAAAGCAAGAGCACATTCTCGAAGATGAATAAACTTTAAACTCTAATGAAAATTTAACTCTGGAACTGTTTAATTTTCTGTTAAATATTTAAGTTTCAATTATCCAAAATAAATAAGCAAAACAACAGAAACAACAAATAAAATTAATGATGAAGACTTTGTAAACAAAATTGTCCTTCAAAAAAAAAAAAAAGGACAGCTTAAGACCAAAACATCATCCAGTTTTTAGTAGATAAATCAGGCAAATGAAAATTGTTGAGCTCGTTTTGATTTATCATGCAATTAATTGATTTATTGCTTATTGCAACAGGGCAACTTTTAATGTCTGGTTTTAGTTTACTGTGAAAACATCAAGAACTAAAAGCTTTCAGCTGCATCTTGAACATCTGGGACATCATTTAAAAGTTGATTTCTTTCAGTAACTCAAGTTTAGAAGTAAATTTTAAAGTCTTATTCACACCTGATGGTCTGATAGACTCGGTTTGATTGGGACCAGAACTTCATCATCTGCTCAATCTCTGTGTTCTGAGTCAAACCAACCAAACCCTTTGAGCAACCTGTTCCCCTCCTCGCCTGTGGGGGAACTGCACCAAGAACCACTGAAGGAAACGACACAAAAACCTCAGATGAAGACGCTGAGAGAAATTTCCTTCTTCACCAAATGGAAACAAAAATGTAGTGCCGTCATATTTTTCAAAATGTTTCTTCACAAAACATTTTTGTTTAAGTTTTGTGAAGAAGGAAGTTGCGCTCAGTGTCTTCTTCAGAGGTTTTCATGTTGGTGCAGTGCCTCCACAGGCGAGGAGGGGAACAGGCTGCTAAAAGGGTTTGGTTGGTTTGACACAATGCAGTGTGACAGAGAACCACAGCAGCTGGAGATGGAACAAAAGTTTCAACTTTGGTTCCCAATCCAGCCAAGTCTGCCGAACTACAGAGTGGAAAAACAATCAAATCCATCTGAACAATGGACATCGGACCGCTGAGCAGCTGAACAGAGGAATCATTGTTGACATGCCAGCTGATCACAACTTAAACCCAAGTTTCAGTTAAGATTGCTATATTTGCATCAATATCTTCAAAAATCAACATTAGTGAATAACAGACATCCGTGTCCAAAGGCAGCATAAAAATGGACCCGCAGGTTTCAACAGTGATCAAAGACGAAAACCATTCAAACTTAAAGCGGTCAGCAAAAAGTAGACTTCCCCCATCACCCACTCACTAAAGCCACCAGCTGAGCAACAGGTGATCATACAATCACTACCAACACCACGTAATCCAGAGTTACTCCTATCCACCACGCCAGATGTTTTCTCCTTGGCTTAGGTAGGACTCTTCACACAATGTCATATGATGCAACGACTCATATGACTTGCAACAATAATTAATTTCTCTTTGGAACCAGCAAAGTATTTCTGAATTGAATTTAAGAGACGCTAAACCCAAGGACTCTGACTTAAGCTGCAGTCCACACCTTTAGTTGACTTTTCCTCATAAGTCTATCAAGTTTGCAGTTGTCATCTGTTGCTACTACACTTCTTCCTTCCACCAAGCTTTCCATTAATATGGTGAGTTGGAGCACTGTAAGCTGTCAACTTCTATACAAATAAACTTTTGTGCTCAGTCAGCAGTTTCCTCTGCGAGATCAGATAAAAAAATTTCGCTACAAAAATAAATTACTTTTATTACTCTAATGTAAAATTGGACTGAATTTATGGTTTTAATAGCTCTAAAAGCCATACTTCACTCATATATTGCCGTAGTTTAATTATTGGACTCCAGATTATTCACTCAGCAGGAAATAAAACATTTCATAACCCGTCTTAAAAGTAGGTCAGTTACTGTTCCCCGAAACAGAGCAAGACTCGTTTAACTAAAAGTTTTGTACAAATGCATTCATTATTAAACAGAAAAAAACAGTAAAAACTAGTATATAGTGACATAAATTATTCTTTTATAGAAAACTATCCGCTGAGCCCCTAAGATTTAAAACTGGACGAGAAAAACGTAACATTTCCAGTAACAACAGACACCAAAGATTTCTCTGAATGTTTGACTTCGTATTAAAAACATGAGCTGTGGTTTAGCAAAGTTAATTTTCAAGATTTATAGAGCAGATCCATCGGAGCTACTCACCTTCCTGCCGCTGTGTTGCTTGTATCCTGTATCAAAGGTAAGGGGCGTGAGCAGACGACTAAAGGAAGCTGACGGACCAATTACAACACAGGTAAACATTGCTTCGCATGAACATAGACCAATCAGCGTTGAGCAAGCCACCCATGGTACGATTATTGTCGTTTCTGATTGGTCGACGAAGAGGATCTGATCATGGCGTTACAGACGGAACGACAAGTGGACAAAAACATAAAAAACAAAGCTACGTAAAACCTAACAAGGTGATGAAAAATAGGGAATCATGAACAAAAACATTTAAAATACTTTAAGTAAGTATAAAAACTGTACACATATAGGATAATATCAACACATTAAAATTATACATTCATGCTAAATGACTTAAAAAAACTATATTATAATTTACAGTAAATTGTCTGCACTTCACACAACAGTAATTGCTATCTTTTATAGCCTTTGCAAATCAGTCATACAATTACAAGAATTTTTATAGTCAAAGTGAAAACTGATTTCTACAAAATAACAATTAAATAAAATAATTTACCATGAAAGCAGTCAATCTAGATTTTTTTAAATCATAACTTTGTTTTCTGTTATTAAATTTTTTTTTCTTTGCTTTTTAAAATATGTGTTAAAATAATATATTTAAATTATATTTTTGATGCTCATTTTATGATTGGCTGCCAGTCAAATTCATTAAGCTGCTCTGTATGGAGCTAAATTGGGGCCATAAAGTTTGTTTCAAAGAAAAAAAATGAAACTGAAAAAATATTTTGAAAGCGGAAAAAAATGTTTGAAACCCAAAAAAGAAAGATTTGAAATGGAAACACTTCTGACAATAAAATAACCAAAGAAACCGACACAGCTGCGAAAAAACCCAAAAGAACTGTGTGAATACAATTAAATAAATGTAATAATTAAGGAATAGTGAATAGAAAAACATTCTAAAACTTGATGTTTCTTCACATATTTTGGAGTATTGTCTGTGGATTTGCTCAGATTTTTGAAATAAGACAAAACAAACTTATAACTTTTCAAGACATTGGAACTTTTTTAAGTCAATATTTCCTTAATATTGATGAAAACGTAAAAGTAAAGAGACAGATTACATTATTTCCGAGCTAAAAATGAGAAAATATATCAGTGGAACAAGTAAGTTGGTATTTTCGCGGTGGGTAGGTCTCATCATTGCTGAGTTGAGTTTGTTGCAAACTCAAGAACTCTCTTCCGGCCACTAGATGTCACTGTTGCTCTAAACTAAGAGTGGACTGGTCTGCTTCCTGTTGGATTACAGCAGTGATACAACTGGGAAGGATTTACTAAATAAATATATTTAATTTATACACACACCATAAAACTTAAAATATAAGCAAAAATAAAAAATAGTTTCATATTCCAATTTTCTTCTTCATTAGAAATTAATGTGTTTAAATTAATGTATTTTTGCTTTCCAATTATGCATTTACCCATAGATCTGTAAACAAAAAATGTGGTTATTAAAAATGAGGCCATAATTTTTAAAACCTTTATTCTGCTTCTAATAAACTCTGAATTTGATTGTTGTTTTCTTTATAAATTCTTTAATATCGCACATTGTCACGTATCCAGCCCCACTTTTAGTTAATTTATTTGTAAATATTTTAAGATGTTTTAATAAATGATAGATGCATGTCTTACAGTGTCATGCAAAATTATTATTGTTTTTTTATTTATTTACGTACACTCAAACACTTTATTATACTTTTGGTATTTCATTAATCCCAAAAGTATGTTCTAGACAAACACAAACTGGGACAAACTGTAAAGTGGAAAGAAATTTATTCATCCATTCATTCATCAGCTCCAGAGAAGAACAGCATCACCACAGCATGATGCTGCCACCACACAAAGTTCAGATTTGGTCCCATCTGATCAGAGAAACTTCCTCCACATGTTTGATACTTCTTGATTTTATACAGTTTAATTCTGACTCTGTTTACTGTTGGCCAGACATGGACCTAGATTTAAGAATGCAAATGAGTAATTTACTTTAAATAAACTGTAATGTAACTAGTTACTTTCGACCCCTGCTGTTGGATAACTGTATTTCTTTTTTAAAGAGGCAGCATCATGTATTTTCCAGCCACATAGTGATATTTTGTAACTATGGTACATTCAGTTGTAAAAAATGTTATATTAATCAAATATGACCTTGTAATTTAGCACCTTGAAATCGGGCCTCTGTCTCTTTACGAAACTCCTGCTCTTTCTGAAGCTCTGACTCCAGGAAGTCATCCCAACATGGCTCCTATTAACCCTTTAACAACATTTTCACCAGAGCAGCTCTGAGCAGCAGCTTCTTAATGAGCTCAGTAGCTGTTTGCTAATTGCTGCTGGCTAGTCTGAAGGAGCTGAGTGGGGGAGGAGCTATGCCTCAAGCTCGGGGTTAGGGCCATCCAGCTAAATGGTTGCCATGGAGATTAATGGATTTCTCAAATATGAGTAAATCCAAGCAACACTCCAGGTCTGTTTTTGATGGAAAACTACAAATAAATAAAATAAAGTTGATTTTATGTAATACTGCCCCTTTAAGAAACATAACAGTAAAAGGGCTAAATAGAAGCCACTTTGTGTTGCTAAATCCAAATAAAACACTCAATATTTAGAAATGTGAGTAAATTTCAAAGGACAAATCATGTCATGTTTCAATAATCCAGTTATCATAAATAATAAAAATCAATCATTAATTTTAATAGAAGACGCCTCATTGAAATCAATAATGCGCAGCAACATGTGAACTGAATGTTTGTGATAGTTCTGAAATGTTTAGTTGCCTGAAACTCTCTGAGCTCCAGCGTCAGTCATTTCTGACAAACATGAAACAATCAGCATATCTGCCGCCGCTCATGCTGCGCTCTGGAGAACCTGCTGCTCATCGTCTTCCTCAGCAGGAAACCAACGTCAATTTGCCACGTGGAGAAATCTAATCATAACCAGCCTGTGATCTTTCTCCTGTTTCAGACAATCCCAGTAGGGGGCGCTGCAGAACAGCCACCTCCTCCTGCCGCTAATTTTCCGATCCAGACGTGGATGATTTCTGGCTCCTAACTCTCCTCTAATCTCATCTTTACCACGATAATTCGTCTCTACATAAACTTTAAAATTACGATTTTTTTCATTAGGGTTAATAAAAGTCGATCCAACTGAACCTGGTTCAGTGTGAAAAGTAATCACACCCCTAGACCTGATCAGCTGCAGCAGCTGATAACTGGCTATGAGTTTTTTTTAATCATTCCTGTGGAGGAAGCTTGTATGGAGCTAAACTGGGGCCATGAAGTTAAAAAAAAAAAAAAAAAAAAAAGACAATAAAAAATCAGTTTAAAAATAAAAAAAAAAAAAAAAAAAAAAAGC